ATATATATACAGCATAATCGATTATGTGGCCAAGCATAATCGATTATGCAAGACTACATAATCGATTATGGCCTTGCATAATCGATTATGTAGCCTTGCATAATCGATTATGCTTCCTTTGTATATGTTTCCTCTACTGCATGGCACACTACGCATGCATGCGAAGGGGCATTTTTGAGTTTTTATAAATCTTACGTGACTTTCTTATGCTTTCTTCGCTTTTGTGCGAGGACGAGAATCACGTTTCTCCCCCCTTTTCTTCGCCTTTTCGTCGTCGCAAATCACCGGAAACGAACAACAAGTTTCTTCGCCTTTCTTTGCTCGTGAACAGTAAATTCATGGAAACAAACACTACCTTAGACTCGTAAACTTAGTTAAAAATTTCTCTTACTTCGAGTCGTGATGTTTGTGCCAAAGAGAAAGAAAAATCATGCATAGGTTTCAACTTTAGTCAAAATTGGTTTCTTTTTATGCAATTCTTTGTCCACAGAAAAACAATGCTTTATTCAAGTGAAAAATAAAAATAAATGAATATATCGTTTTCTAAATTAAAACACTAGCATTTCGAAACCTTTTTGATAAATAGCTATTTTATAACATATTGTTTTCAGAAATGCTTAAAAAATAATTCAAACACATATTGCAACTTTCTAAAAAACGTTTAATAACATTTTTTTTATAATATTAGAATTTCAAATATTTATCTTTTCAATTCTAGTCTCTTTTATTTTTTTTTTCTCTTTAGTGATATTTTCAATTGTGATACTATCTAATAGTAGAACCTAACTGTTAGAAATTGTGGTATTTTTTATCAATTAATTAAGGAGGCTTTTATAGCATTTTATTACCTTAATATAAATCATTATGTTGACAAAAAAAAAAAAAAAGAAGAAGTTATTTTTACAACAAATTTTTTAAAAACAAATTTACAAGATGAATATTATTTTCTAAAAAATGAATTTCAACAATTATGGATGATTTGACGCTTTCAAATAATTTCCTAAAGTAGATATATAAGATAAGAGACTTTGGTCCAATTTTGTGGATATCGTGCAAGAAACATACAGCATTAACACAAAAAGGTGGCAATTTCTTAGAACGATAGTTTTAAAAACCGGACCGGTCATCGAACCGGTTAAGGTATTGGGTCAGTGGGTCAAAGGTTGAACCGGTGGGTCATTGGTTGAACCGCATGACTCGATTTTTATTTATTTATATTAAAAAATATTCATATTAAATATATTTATACTTATAAATTTTAATAAATTCATATCTTGTTTTAAATTTTTGTATCTTATTTAAAATTATTTTTATTTTTATTTTGTAAAAAAATACATAAAAAAATTACATGTTAAACGGTATATTAATACAAATTAAAAATATAAATAATATGTACATATATAATATGCTTGCAATTAATATCACAAAATAATATATGTAATATTTACATAGATATTGAATTATTAAATATATAATTTAAAATTAATAATATACTATAAAAGTTATTTAAGTTGTATATATTGCAAACAAATATATTAGAACAAGTAGTCATTGTTATATTTAATAAGACTC